AGGGCCCCATAGCAAAATTTTGTATGGGACCCCATATTTTCTAGTTATACCCCTTGCAGAGCCCACTCAAGATATATATATATACATGCGTGTGTGTTTGTACATTTGTGTGCACACCCTAATGCAATAGGTTGCCCATGCTGAGCACACATTGCCTCTAGTGTCTAATGTGTACAAGTGTCGTACGAGAGCAGGAATATTCCACCATGGAGAAGACGCATAGGAAAAGACTTCTAGTGGACTGTGGCCCTTAGGGAAATCAGCCTCATAACTTACCTTTCCAAAACCCCCTTGTCCAAGAACCCGATGGAAGTTAAAGCTTTCCAAGCTCAAATTGTCGGAGGAGCTGGGGGATGGGGATGATGTCTCGCTGGATGAAGCCGATGACATTGACTCGTCGGTGTCGGACGAAGACACCGGAGTCTGGTCGCTGCCAAAGATGGCTGCAGCCGATGGACACGACTCACTGGCACCGATGGAAGGTGCCGGTGGAGCCGGCCCCTGGGCTGCAGCCAAAGGATCTATCCCGATGGCACCTTCAGATGGAACAGCAGCGACTGGTCCTTGGGGGGGAGAAAAAATAATCATATTAAACTTTCTATAGTACAAGGAATGAGTGGAGATTGAAATGTATTCTCTTTCTTCCATGTAAGTCAATGCCATCTGTGTGATGTGAGGAGTCCCAGCCCTGTGTATTACTGTACAATCATGTTTGTTGTTTCATGTATTAGATATACAAAGATAAATCTCATTCTTTTATGAGGAAACAGGGGCAGATTCTGCCTACAATTGCCCCAATGCTCCGTGCAATTGCCCCACTTTGTGGGGGATTAGTGACAGGCTGTGCAGTGGGCTTCCCTGTCGAGAATCCACTTGTGATGGATTTAAGGGAACCCTTTCCTCTCCTCCCATTAAAACACTATTATCCAAAAATGGAGAGCAATGGCAAGGCAAAGAAAAATGGCTTCCTCTGATCCGGGGACACAAAGCCAATGAAGGGAATTGATCAAACCTGGAGCAGACAAAATCTGGAGCAGCTGTGCACGGCCACCAATCAGCTTCTCTCTCTCTCTGATTTAACATTAACTGAACAAACTGAAGAGAGAAGATGATTGGTTGCCATGAGCAACTGCTCCAGATTCTGTTCTCTTCAGTTTTTTAATACCCCCCCTCCCATCACAGTGCTGTGACTTTACAAGCCAGAGCCGGGCTTCAACTGTCACATGGCAAGGCATTGGATGTGCTTTTAAAAGTCACATGATCATCCAGTCCAATCAGATGAATGTGAATGAATGATTGGGATCAATAAATCATCAAAGTTTACACCCTGAGAAGCCTTGTTACAGCGCGGTGACATGGGCAACATTCTAGAGGCTCCATTCACAAAGCCAATACACCGGGGCAAGGAGCTTTTTTTTGGGTTATTTTCATCTAATAAATTAAGTTCTCCGATAATAGGGATCACTTCAACTCCTAACGTCCTGCCGGGATCAATGGCTGACGCGGTACAATCCTCTCCTACTGCTCGGTGTGATTTACAGAGGAGGACATGATAGTGTCTTCTATTCCATGATGACGGTATTTACCTAATGCTTCATCTTCCTTCTTTTCTTTCCTTCCTAGCCAAGGAAAGATTCTGCGCAGAATGATCCTTGCGCCCCGCGCAAACGCCCCATGCTTACCCCTCTGCGGGGCAGCGGTACCGGGCTCTGCAGCGGGCTGGCGGCCCTCAGCCGAGGGGTCCGCTCTCTGCGGGGGTTCCTCCCTGATGGAATTAGGAGAAACCTGTGCTCTCCTTCTCCTCCTAAAAAAACGGTCCTGGCGGTCGTCAGCCGAGGGGTCCGCTCTCTGCAGGCGTTCCTCCTTGATTGAATTAGGAGAAATCCTCCCTCTCCTCCTCCTCTCAAAAAAACGCATGCCCTGGCGGTCGTCAGCCGAGGGTTCCGCTCTCTGCGGGGGTTCCTCCTTGATGGAATTAGGAGAAACCTGCACTCTCCTCCTCCTCCTAAAAAAACGGCCCTCAGCCGAGGGGCCCGCTCTCTGCGGAGGTTCCTCCTTGATGGAATTAGGAGAAACCTGCGCTCTCCTCCTCCTACTAAAAAAACGGCCCTGGCGGTCGTCAGCCGAGGGGTCCGCTCTCTGCGGGGGTTCCTCCTTGATGGAATTAGGAGAAACCTGCGCTATCCTCCTCCTCCTGCCAAAAAAACGCATCATTGTGAAAAATCGCTCAATGAAACGCTGGCCAAAAAATCGGTTCCTCTCTCACAAGGGGAAACACAGCCTCTGGCTTTGCAGTGACAGTGCGAGCTTTTATAGAGGCCGGAGGGGAGCGCTATGCCAACTCCCAATGTAGTGCAGCCAAGGTCATGTGATATGCGTATTTTTCTTTTATGAGGAAACAGGGGCAGATTCTGCCTACAATTGCCCCAATGCTCCGTGCAATTGCCCCACTTTGTGGGGGATTAGTGACAGGCTGTGCAGTGGGCTTCCCTGTCGAGAATCCACTTGTGATGGATTTAAGGGAACCCTTTCCTCTCCTCCCATTAAAACACTATTATCCAAAAATGGAGAGCAATGGCAAGGCAAAGAAAAATGGCTTCCTCTGATCCGGGGACACAAAGCCAATGAAGGGAATTGATCAAACCTGGAGCAGACAAAATCTGGAGCAGCTGTGCACGGCCACCAATCAGCTTCTCTCTCTCTCTGATTTAACATTAACTGAACAAACTGAAGAGAGAAGATGATTGGTTGCCATGAGCAACTGCTCCAGATTCTGTTCTCTTCAGTTTTTTAATACCCCCCCTCCCATCACAGTGCTGTGACTTTACAAGCCAGAGCCGGGCTTCAACTGTCACATGGCAAGGCATTGGATGTGCTTTTAAAAGTCACATGATCATCCAGTCCAATCAGATGAATGTGAATGAATGATTGGGATCAATAAATCATCAAAGTTTACACCCTGAGAAGCCTTGTTACAGCGCGGTGACATGGGCAACATTCTAGAGGCTCCATTCACAAAGCCAATACACCGGGGCAAGGAGCTTTTTTTTGGGTTATTTTCATCTAATAAATTAAGTTCTCCGATAATAGGGATCACTTCAACTCCTAACGTCCTGCCGGGATCAATGGCTGACGCGGTACAATCCTCTCCTACTGCTCGGTGTGATTTACAGAGGAGGACATGATAGTGTCTTCTATTCCATGATGACGGTATTTACCTAATGCTTCATCTTCCTTCTTTTCTTTCCTTCCTAGCCAAGGAAAGATGCTGCGCAGAATGGTCCTTGCGCCCCGCGCAAACGCCCCGTGCTTACCCCTCTGCGGGGCAGCGGTACCGGGCTCTGCAGCGGGCTGGCGGCCCTCAGCCGAGGGGTCCGCTCTCTGCGGGGGTTCCTCCCTGATGGAATTAGGAGAAACCTGTGCTCTCCTTCTCCTCCTAAAAAAACGGTCCTGGCGGTCGTCAGCCGAGGGGTCCGCTCTCTGCAGGCGTTCCTCCTTGATTGAATTAGGAGAAATCCTCCCTCTCCTCCCCCTCTCAAAAAAACCATGCATCATTGTGAAAAATCGCTCAATGAAAACGCCGGCCAAAAAATCGCTTCCTCTCTCACAAGGGGAAACACAGCCTCTGGCTTTGCAGTGACAGTGCGAGTTTTTATAGAGGCCGGAGGGGAGCGCTATGACATCACAGCGTCGCATCTGAAATGGGGCTCCAACTGTCATATTGGGAGGGGGCTGGAAGTCACAACGTAGTGCAGCCAAGGTCATGTGATATGCGTATTCGGACGTTCCGGTCGCCACAATATTCACTATATTGCCAAAAGTATTGGGACGCCGGGCTTTACACGCACATGAACTCTAATGGCATCCCAATACTGAACCCTACGGACTAAGACTGGGATGCCACTACAGTTCATGTGCGTGTAAAGGCCGGCGTCCCAATACTTTTGGCAATATCGTGTATGTTCTTTATTGATTTGCACAAATGTTTTTTAGTCCAATGGGCTCCAATGTGCCGAGGTTATTCCCCCATTCACCTATGTATTATTATTTATAGAAAATGTTTTTATGTCTTTATATATGTACACCATTGCACATCCATTCATTAAATATTCATTTTTCTATCAATTTTTATTCCTTGGCCATATAGTCGAGATTAGCGATGGGGGGTCACTGCCAAAGACTCCTCTCCCGATTGGCTGCCTAGTGGAGATATCTGGCGCATTCTGATTGGTCGGGGGGTGTTTACCATTAGCTAATAGACTGGGCGGTTAGCTATCCACTGATTGGCCATGTTTTGATCTAGTGTGTACTCATAGGCTATCGGGCAGTCTGTGGTGTAATCTGATTGGTGGGGAGTTCTCTTATCTTGGCGTACTTGGATACTCAATATACCGGCTCTGAAGAAGGTGGAGGGGCCCCCCGAAAATGCACTGGGCCATTCAGTGAGTGATCCAGCAGGAGCAGTAGGCTAGTCAGTTGGCAGTCACCTGCAGGACTCTAGCCGCTCTCTGCGGACCTGATAGTGATTGTACCGGTTCTACAATGACGCTTTCTTATCACAATCATCTGCGAGAACGGTTAATATCCTTTTATCTCTCTAATAAAGTAATATTGGACCTGAGGAGGCGTTCTTCTCTGCTGTTATCTCCTAGGTATCAGTGTTTCTATGACTGGTGAAGTGCTGCTACCTGGTGCTGAGCATCCATACTGTTGTGGAGACCCTATGAGAACCATTATTCTTTGGAATGAAATATAACTAATAGAATATCCGGCTACTGCCCCGGGGGGACATGTATGGGGATCCGGGTACTGCCCTGGGGGACATGTAAGGGGATCCGGGTACTGCCCTGGGGGACATGTATGGGGATCCGGGTACTGCCCTGGGGGACATGTATGGGGATCCGGGTACTGCCCCGGGGGGACATGTATTGGGATCCGGGTACTGCCCTAGGGGACATGTATGGGGATCTGGGTACTGCCCTGGGGGACATGTATGGGGATTCGGGTACTGCCCTGGGGGACATGTATGGGGATCCGGGTACTGCCCTGGGGGACATGTATGGGGATCCGGGTACTGCCCTGGGGGACATGTATGGGGGTCCGGGAACTGCCCTGGGGACATGTATGCGGGTCTGGGAACTGCCCTGGTGGATGAAAAAAAGCTCAATACAGTTTTAAAGGAGCAGTGATTTTAACATCACTTAAAGGGTAACAATAACAATTAAAAAATCCTTTAAATATAGTCCCTTTGGAGGGTGGGAGGGGGGGGGTTCCCTTAACCTGCCTGTAAAGTGGGGGATCTGTACGATGTATAGAACCTGCTGCAGTAAAACTGACAGGTCCAAAGAAAAGAATTACATTTTGTTTTTGAAAGCGTGCGAGTTCCCCCTCCCAAACATTAGCAGACTCCCATGGGAGCCCTCCTGTTCTCGTCCATCCCTTGGAAGGGCAACCCTGGGGATCGCGACCTGGTACCAGCAAGCAGCCTAGCCCATCTCCACCATCAGGAGCTCTGGTGAACACCGGCTGGTAGTTAGACTCCGCCCCTCAGGGAAGCCTGTGTCACCTGCCAGGGGGTGTCACCCTGACCTTAAAAAAACCTTCCTCTGTCCATCACTGGATGGATGTGGTGAGCGACTGGCTAAGGATACCACAAGAACCATCTTGGCTCTTCTGCCTTGGACATCTTTGACAAAGATCATTTACATATTACAAAGTTGTTACCATTTTATTGGCCCTCCATGTTATAACTAGACTTGTGCGCCGTCAAAAAATTTGTTTCGTTTCGTAATTCGTGTCCGAAACTCAGTTCAGATTAGTACGAAATACGGATTTTCGTTAGTTTCGGCACATTTTCGTAACTTTACGAACATGCGTTATGATGAAGTTAAAAAGCAAAAATACCTTTGTTAATATTGGAGTCGATGTGGTAGTTGTTTTTTTATCCGAAATACGAATTCCGTTAGCGGATTCCGGATCCGAATTTCGTATTTCGAACTTAAAAAAAAACTACCATCAGGCATCAACTCCACTATAAATGTACTTTGCTTTTTACCTTCAATATAACGAATGTTCGTAACGGAACGAGAATACCTCAACGGAATTTTGTATTTCCTGCCTGTGTATTGTAATGCGACTCTCAGCAGCAGAAGAGAACCTCTGATTGGTCAACCAAAACGAAATACGAATTCCGTTAACGGATTCCGGATCCGATTCGTATTTC